ATAAAATACCCAACAGATTGCCAACCAAATGCAGTGTTACTAAATACAACCATAATGCAAATGCGAACTACGGGTTGCCTATAGGTCCCCAATTTCCAGTGAAAAATATAATTTTTTATTAAAGATTTTTATGAAACATGATACCGCTTTTTGCCACAAGAGGACTCACACTGAAATTTCAGTATCGGTATCTGTAGTCAACACTACACAAAATATGGTATGTAAACGTACTAAATTCCAATGATTCATGAACAGGGCTCTCTGATTGAGCGAAACGAAACACCGCCTCGTTTGTTTTTTTGTTTACAAGGCATACTCAAAGTTAATTTTTTAAGGTCTTCAAAATAATTTATCATTAAAAATATATTAAATTGGATGGTCCATAAATGCTGCATAACCCTCCCAAAAAATTTAAAAAAACGCAACAAATAATAATTACATATTCCAACTATAAAAGATTTTCTTTATTAAAATAATGTAAATAATGTCGACCAGTGGATTATCTTCCGTCTAACGCAATTGCCGAATCATGTTTCAACTGGGCAATATTGCCGTAATCTGCGAGCTCCATCCAACAACCGCGCCGCACTCCGCGACTGTGCTATCAACACCAATTTAAATTCTAAAGACTTATAACAGAAAAATTGTTCAATTGATCTGTTGACTTATTTAAAGCAAAGCAGCCGACGAAAATGTTTAAAAATCTGAAAAGTTTTGTTATTAAATCGGTGGCGTATTTAACAGAAAATACTTACGACTCCAAAAGTGCATAATTGCCAAACAAGGTGACAAACTAAATAAATAAATTGGTAAACCGACGAAAATGTTTAAAAATCTGAAAAGTTTTGTTATTAAATCGGTAGCGTATTTAACAGAAAATTACTTACGACTCCAAAAGTGCATAATTGCCAAACAAGGTGACAAACTAAATAAATAAATTGGTAAACCGACGAAAATGTTTAAAAATCTGAAAAGTTTTGTTATTAAATCGGTGGCGTATTTAACAGAAAATTACTTACGACTCCAAAAGTGCATAATTGCCAAACAAGGTGACAAACTAAATAAATAAATTGGTAAACCGACGAAAATGTTTAAAAATCTGAAAAGTTTTGTTATTAAATCGGTGGCGTATTTAACAGAAAATTACTTACGACTCCAAAAGTGCATAATTGCCAAACAAGGTGACAAACTAAATAAATAAATTGGTAAACCGACGAAAATGTTTAAAAATCTGAAAAGTTTTGTTATTAAATCGGTGGCGTATTTAAAGAAAATTACTTACGACTCCAAAAGTGCATAATTGCCAAACAAGGTGACAAACTAAATAAATAAATTGGTAAACCGACGAAAATGTTTAAAATCTGAAAAGTTTTGTTATTAAATCGGTGGCGTATTTAACAGAAAATTACTTACGACTCCAAAAGTGCACAATTGCCAAACAAGGAGACAAACTAAATAAATAAATTGGTAAACCGACGAAAATGTTTAAAAATCTGAAAAGTTTTGTTATTAAATCGGTGGCGTATTTAACAGAAACTTACTTACGACTCCAAAAGTGCATAATTGCCAAACAAGGTGACAAACTAAATAAATTCTTTCGAATTGTAAAAATAAATATAAATGTTAATTAATCAAATTTATATTATTGTGATACTATACTTTTATTTGTATCTACACATGAAAGAAAAGACAATTCATATCATCCCATTAGATTCGCGGCATTTGTGGTATTTTCATTAAGTTTAAGATAATGTTTTTGCAAAACCGACTAGGTACTATATCTCATGTATAAAAGAAATTCACAAGAAAAGCGGGACAAACTTTTTGATCGTAAGTATTCATTTTCGACGGTTTTCGAAAAGGCAATAAATGCAAGCCCAACAAAATTATTTACTTCTGTCACAGATAAAAATCTGTGCTTCTGATGTGGTTTATCTATTTATTGCATATCTTTGCACGGTTATCAAGAAAATTTGCGATCCGATTACACAGATTAAATGTGTGCACGTGCTCGCCTCCATACGCTCCCGTAAGATGAACTATAAATGGCCGATTGCGCCAGCCGTCAAATTGACACAAATTTTAAATTTAAGACTTAAATACAGGTTAAAATCTATAGCAACCATCTTTGATAATGGCACAGCTTACAATTATTAATAATGGTCGCCACACAATTTAAACTGAAATCTAAATCTTTACATAAATTTGATAGTTTAGTTAAGTACTTCCCTCAAAATTATAATAGCTTTGACACTACAACAAATTAATGTAAGTACCTATACGTCAATGCAAAATAATAAGAACAAGTCACTTTAACATAAATCACACACAATGCAATCACAAACGCAAACACCTATAAATTATAGTTTTATAGACTAAAAGACACGGTTTCGCGGGGTGAGTTTTTTTAAAGTGACATCTACAGAAAAACGCTTGTAACTCCTTCTTTTCATGACCACCATAAAGATTCGTAAAATGGATGTTCATACTAATACTCAGTAGATGGCGCGTTTAAGTATACCCGGATCTTTAACTTAAGTATATTTTAAGTATATTTATGTTACCCATAAAATGTATTGTGGTTAGCAATCTGTTGGGTATTTTATCTGCGGTGTTAGTAAACCACTAAATGACATCTAGCTAACATACCGTACACTGTATAAAACCAGTCCCTGTTTATAACTGTTGCAAAGATATAAGCAATTAATTAATTCCTTATATCAACATATTTGCAGTCATAAAATGAAGGAAAGGCCTGCATGTTTTCAAAAATTCTTATTGGAGCTTTCTAATCAAATGTTTCAATTTGATCAATAAGCTAGCTACAACCAAGCTTTAGAGACACATCCCACAAACCATGCAACTGTCTATAGAACATGATAGATAAATACTGTGAAACATTTTCAAAAATAGTACTAGAAATTGGACGAGATCTGATGTAACTTTCCCATAAACCTAATTAGACCTCACAGGCCATTCAGAGGTGCTCAAAATGTGCACATTGTAAAGTTAGCCCTTAGATTGAGATTACCTTTCGTGTCTGAAATTTGGCTCATTTCTCCACTGGTTCCTACAAAATTATATAGCTCATCAACACTTTTGAACGTATACATACATGGCTTCCTTCATTTTATGAAAATCCTATTTTCAATGAGTTGAAGGGAGATAACATTCGAACTTGTACATATAAAACGCAGCTTTCTAACATTCACATGCAAATTAACACACTAATCGACATCAAGGATCGAATTGTATAGGGTGGTATTTAATGTTTGTTATGTTAGGTTTGAACGCGATAGTCTACCAAGATGACGATCCGACCATTAGCAGTGCCACAATTATTGGAATCGTCGTTGCTGCCATCTTACTACTTCTCATATTAATCGATGTTCTGTGCTGCTGTACGAATCATGCCGGAATCATTGCGTTAATTTACGATCAAGTTCACTCGAAACCTGTCGATGACGAAGACGCGAAACTTGGAAGGTATGCTTTTGTTTATTTAAAACTTTAGAAACTGTGTTGTGTGTGTGCTCTGAAGTACCTTACACAATCAACATTGCCTATTCAAAAGTCTGTTCATACACTGCACTTTTGCTTTTACGGCCTTAAATTCTCACTTACAACACATGCAGTACTGTACAGGGAAATTTTAGTCTATACAGTTGGCGATTTCCGCTGCCTTATTGCAGTTACAAAGCTGCTCCGGCACATCCAAGCAGTCTCAACTTGCCGCAACCTATCAAATTGGCCCCTTCACCTATGTAAGACTCTCTGTTGCATGAATAGTTTTGCATGAATGTAATTAGTGCACATTTCTTAGGTAAATTTGGCGTATTTCTTTTTGAACTGAATGTAGAATGAGTGTTTGTAAATTCAAGTATCCTCTAACTTTTGTTAAAACTAGTTGTTTTAGTAGGTAGTGGAGAGTGAAAAATGTTCAAGATTAATTTGTGTGTTTATTCCATATAGTGGGTCAGATAATGGCAAGTGTATCTTTCAAATGGATGATACTACCATGAAATTTGGTATGAACACTTCTACAAAAGGGTATTGTTTTTTATTTATCTGGCCCACTAATAATACTCTTGGTAGCACAGTTTATTTTTAAGCGCAAATTATAGACATTTTTCTTTATCCATACAAAAAAAAAAGGTTGTCGGAAGAATAGGCGTAGTGTTGCCCCAAAACAATATCAGGGACATTTCATTAATTTTACCCACTGCTAAAAAATATGAAATGATGATCCCCTAAAAAAATCACCAGCCTTTTTGGTAACTGGTTCAAAATCAATGTAATGTCATATCTGGTATTGAGGATAACTGAGCAAAGTAGTTTCTTGTTCTTGCATGTGGATGCACGCTGCTTCCCATAGACAACTGTAGGAAATACTGCTCAATTGGCACTTGTTACTGTGCCACAATATTTAAAAACCTTTGTAATTTTGGCACAGTAATATATTTGTAAATATAGCATTATATCAGGCCATCCGAGGCCTACGATACTTACAGGCCGGAGCGCTCGAAAAAGTCACGTGACGTTAGGAGTCATATGAAATACATTACGGCTTATGGAAAATCCGTGCGCGGCTCCACTATTTATTTTTTTTCTCCGGATCCGTTCAACATAGAGCCACGAAATTTCAATGAGAGCTTCTCAATAGTACACACAATCAAATTATGGTGTTCGTCAATTTTTAATAACACTAAAAATAATTAATTTTTAGGTTTAAAGTATTGAAGATAAAACGATGTTGGTAAATCCGCGATTTTCTATCTTTACATCATCATATTTCTTTTTCTAGGAACTATATCATTATAATCCTTTCGGCGTCTTAAACTAGAATTATATGCGCCTCTAATTATGAGTATATAATGCCTTATCTCGTATTAGTATAGCTTTAACAGGCCCTACAACATCGTGCATTTATTATCCGCGCAGAGAAAAATTCACCATGCGAGAAACTTTTTTCTTATTGCTATAATTGTAACACATATATCGCATGAATTGTGGTTAAAGGACACAAAAATGTTCTTCAGAAGGAAATTTTAAGAAATGGTCTCTTGTTTCCTTTTTCTCAGCAACTTAAGTAAATAGCGCGTTCACTTATTCTTGAAATCGCGCTATTTACTTCAGCTGCTGAAAAAAAGGAAACAAGAGACCATTTCTTAAAAATTCCTTCTGAAGAACATTTTTGTGTCCTTTGGCCACAATTCATTCGATATATGTGATACAATTATAGCAATAACAAAAAAGTTTCTCGCATGGTGAATTTATCTATTATTATAATTATATAATTTAAATAATAATTTCCATTGCGCGTTCGTGTGTTCCGGAAGTCGCACTATTTACTAAAACTGCTGAAAAAGGAAACAAAAGACCACTTTTAAAAAAATTCCTTCTGAAAAACATTTTTGTGTCCTTTGGCCACAATTCATTCGATATATGTGTTGCAATTATAGCAATAACAAAAAAGTTTCTCGCATGGTGAATTTTTCTCTGCGCGGATAATAAATGCGCGATTTTGTAGGGCCTGTTAAAACTATACTAATACGAGATAAGGCATTATATACGCATAATTGGAGGCGCATATAATTCTAGTTTAAGACACCGAAAGGATTATAATGATATAGTTCCTAGAAAAAGAAATATGATGATGTAAAGATAGAAAAACGCGGATTTACCAACATCGTTTTATCTTCAATACTCTAAACCTAAAAATTAATTATCTTTAGTGTTATTAAAAATTGACGAACACCATAATTTGATTGTGTGTACTATTGAGAAGCTCTCATTGAAATTTCGTGGCTCTATGTTGAACGGATCCGGAGTAAAAAAATAAATAGTGGAGCCGCGCACGCATTTTCCATAAGCCGTAATGTATTTCATATGACTCCTAACGTCACGTGACTTTTTCGAGCACTCCGGCCTGTAAGTATCGTAGGCCTCGGGCCATCCCATCGCCTTAAACAAGCATTCCAGTGTAATTCCAATCTCATATTCCATTGCAAACCAATTGCTCCTTGCAGTTTAGCTAGACAATGAAAAACTGTAAAAAAGTATCAACTAATCTAATGCTATATCTGCAAAATGGATCCATTGAAATGGTGCAATTGTGATTAAAGCCACTAATTTCCAACTTTATTTTAAAGGGAAGAAAAGCAGCCCTTGCGAACCGACCTTCAAGACCCAATGATTGTTAACGGCGTGGATAAGTGCAATATGTCTGTGGAGTATGACGGTAAACAAGTTTACACAAAGCCTGGAGAAATTATTGGTAAACATTCAGTTGTTTAAATTTCGTAAGGTACGATTAATGTTGTACAAATTTTTAACTTTTTAACTTAACATTCCCATGACGACTTAAATTAATTTGTGTGCCAAAGCGTGTTTCATAGTTAAGTTTCGTGTAATATTTTCTCATTTGGAACACTCTGATTTTATGATCGCAACTATTAGATTAAGAATGGTTTATGTACGTAGGACCGGGAAGGAATAGTTCTTACTTTATGACAGCTTTTGTGTAACTTACATCCGATTATAGGTGTAAACAAAGCTTTTTACGCTTTGATGTTGTATAAATGTTTCTTTTGTAAAGAATTTATAGTTAAAAGTTTATGTAGAATTAGTTAAAAGTAATGTAAAATTGCGAGTATACTGATATTTTTATAGAATTTAAGAGCGATTTTTATTTTTTTAATTGCACTATCGAGCACCACACTTTTTGTAGTACAGTAATACAATGTAAGACTGAATGAGGTACTTAACATATTTCTTTGCATTTTATTGTGAAATTGCCAAAGTATTAAAACACTATTTATACTAACTGTAGCTTTTTATATGGACAAAATAAAGTGGTTCACAATAATAACTCTACTCGCCCCCTGTGGGTTCGGGGGTAGAATTGGCCCACTCCCGTCCTGGAGATCGTAAAAGGCGATCAATGGGCACTAGAGGCGACGAGTCCAACCGCCTTTTTTATACTCCCATCCATTATTACATCCGTGTCATTTTTTCTCCTATAGTGATGCTCAACCCTGGGAAGCAAGCCTTAAAATGCTTGAGGATGACTCATTTTTCTGATGTGTTTATAGATTTAATCGGAGAAACTCTTATTGTGGACTGAGGTATCAAATGGGTCCCAGTGCGAGTCAGAGTCAGTGTCCCTAATAGAATTTGTGCTAATAGTTAAAAGAATTGTATACCCACTATGTGCTAGGCGATAATAAAAATTTGAAAAAAACAAAAGGGGGATTTTTATTGAAATGGTATCAGTAAACAAACTCTGCATAAATATCTCGGTTGACCGAGGTACCCTAACTGTTCATTCATTCATTTTCGTCATTGTTCGTTCACGTTCACACATCTAATAGCTCAGGTTATTCACTTTATTATTCAGTTTCTAATTATTTATTTGTTAACGAACGATCACCCTGCTTTTATTCTTTTCTTTAGAGTTTAGATTATTATACGAATTTTTTTGTTTTGTTTTTATGTATTGTCAGGTATGTTCAATTGTATTTAATTCTTTTTCTTTTAAATTATAATATAATGCTTGCACATTCTCCAATTAAGGCATATTGTCCTGTAACTGGATATGTATATGTATTGCGCAATAAATTATTATTATTATTATCAAAGGAACATATGTGACCTATCATAAACGACGCATTAGGCACTTACGCGATTGATGTCCGATTTTTAAGCACGGAAAACGCGCTTTTTGCATTTTAAAACGCTGTTCACTTTTGTGACAACTTGAACGAAAAAAGCAAACATTTGGCAATGTCCGTCGTATTAATTAAAACAATGGCACTCATTAAATGTTCGAGAACGCAATTTCTTAAAATCTTTTTTACGACCTCTGAAAATGAGGTCATAACGTATAGGAGGCATGATATAGTACCCATTACCTACACCCGTGCGTAATGAAAAAATTAAAATAATGCGCAATTTTTTAACTCGCCTGTAATACACGCTCTATTACAACCTTATGACGTACTACTTCATTATTAGTTTTGATTTTGGTTAATCCCAAAACTTTGGCTATCCAAGTCAATTCTATTTTCATCCTCAATCTCTGAAAGAAAAAGATGGAAACAATTGCCCATTCAAGTCTTGACCTGCAAATACGTTTAGAACACGTGTGGATATTTCGTAGGCGGTAGTCTAGCCAATTTGAATTTGGGTTTGCCCACTGACTTTGTAAACAAGATAGGGAATCAGTGACCATCTTTTTCCCATATAACGCCACGAGAAAATTTTCAACTGCTTCCGCAATTTGGGATGGCTTTAGTATTTTTGAAAATTCTTACGTCTTGTTAGGACTTGTTTTTCTCAAATTACGTACACACCGTCTTCCCTACTCACACACTGCACAAATAAATTTTATTTATTTTTGGCGTTTATTTTTAAGTGGGCGTGGTTTCAGCCAAGGCTACCAACCCAACCTACTATGCATTTAGCGGACACCAGTTGTAATACGGCGTTATTAAACATAGCGGATGATATTATGCGTGCAACAGACAAGGGTAAAGTAACGGTATTGGTGTTGTTGGACTTTTCGAAGGCATTTGATACGATCAACCATGGTTTACTTCTATCTATGTTAAAGTATATTGGTCTTCGTCCTACAGCTGTAAGCTTAATTGCTAATTACCTTTGTAATAGGACACAAATAGTTTCCGTAGGCGGTAATATTTCACAATCGTTACTTGTGAAGAGCGGTGTTCCGCAGGGGTCTGTATTGGGTCCCATATTATTCACCATATACATATCGACATTTCCTGGCGTTCTTCATTCTTGTTTGTCTCATTTTTACGCTGATGACACTCAAATATATTACTCTTTTTTACCCCATGAGGTGCACCAAGCGTGCGTAACCATGAGCGATGAGTTGGAGCGCGTGTCAGGAGTGTCGGCAGCGCACGGCCTCCTTTTGCAACCCTGATAAATCGAAAATGGTACTTTTCGGTAGTCGTCAAAATAGGTTTAAAGTTATGGATAGAATAAATATAACGATAAATAATAGGCCGTTGACGTTGGAGGATTGGGTGAATAATTTGGGGCTTACCATGGATTCAGGATTCAGACTTGCGTTTTGATCATCATGTTTCAAAGTGTTTGCGAAGCGGTTATGCAAGTCTAAAACTTATTTATCAAAACCGACACCTATTTGGCACTCAGCATAAGAAACTTCTTTGTAACACTTTGGTACTATCCAGGCTCAACTACTGTGACTCTCTGTATGGTCCATGCCTTGGTTCGGTTAATATAAACAGAATTCAGAAGCTACAGAACTCGTGCTTAAGGCTAATATTTGGAATAAGAAGGCGAGAACGTATTAGTCATAAATTGGTTGAGCTCGGATGGTTGAATATGAAAAATCGTCGCCTCTTGCATGCCACAGTCTTATTCCACAGTATCATAATAAATAAAACACCGACTTACTTGTACGAGAAAATTAATTTTCGAACGGACGTGCACAATCTTAATTTGAGGTTCAAGGGATTGTTAACGCCTCCGATTCATACAACACAAGCGTTCAAAAAATCTTACACCTATTATATTACACATGCGTATAATGAACTACCCATGAACCTTAAATCGCTTTCCCTAAAAACCTTCAAATCCATTATTCATAAAGATCTGCTTAGGGTACAAACAAATACAGTTTAAGTAAGTGCTCCATTTCTAAATTTTCACATATTGATACCGGTAAGATTATAGTACACCTAAATTGATGCAATTTATATTTATCTCTTTTTTTTTTCTTCTTTTCTTATATTCTATACTTTTTTTATAATGTAATTTTCTTCTTTTTCGCCGATCAGAATTCAAATAGCAAGGTTAAGTGTACGAACAGATGGCATTATTTTACTGCTAATCTGAACTTCGCCTTGTACTAACCTTATCTGTTGCTTATTTTTCTTGTTTTTTTTTTAATAAAGGCAATATTATTATTATTATTTGCAAATAATATATCCCGCGATCTGATTATACATGTAGCTGTGAAATATAGCTTGGACAGGGCGATTTTGAAAATGACTTTTTTGTGGGAATTTGAGGCAAGGGTCTCTTTCCCAATTTTAGAATTTGCAATCAAACTCTGTATCTTTCATTAAAACAGTTTTTTAAACTGTTTTTTAGGTACCTACTGTAATTTTTATAACTAGGGCTGGGCGATTACGGGTTTTAATAATCGATTATGAAAAATAATCGATTACACTGATTAATCGATTAATCAAATCATCGATTAATCACCTAATCGTTTAATCAAAAGTCGATTGTCACATACAAGGAGTGATAAATATCTGTATGCATTAATACGTTAATTATTTAATAATAAAAATAAAAAATAATTCCATTACTCTTTTTATCAAATCGTTCATTACTAGGCAGATCGATTAATCAATAATCAACACAGTGTCCCTGGTTCGAATCCGGGTTCGGGCATGGATATTTGCAAATGCATAGTGGGTTGGTTGGTAGAACAGCCTTGGCTGAAACCCTGCCCATTTGAAAATGAAGGTCAAAAATAAAAATAAATAAATAAAAATAAATGATTAGGCAGCTTACTCTCCGATGAGGTGTGCTTTAGTTTTGATGATACAATCTTAATTCATTTTAGCTGCTTAAAGTGACGTTTTAACATCCGCTATAAAATAAAATAATACTTGTGAGCTGTGAGTGCTCCTTTTTGCGTAAACTGATGATCCAGCTAATAATAATCAATTAAAATTTACTTAATAATTGATTAATCAAACAATCGATTAATCAAATAACCGATTAATCAAATAATCGATTAATCAAACAATCGATTAATCAAACAACCGATTAATCAAATAACCGATTAATCAAATAATCGATTAATTTAATAGAATAATCAAACCCGATTATCGATTATCGTTTGATTATAATCGATTAATCGATTTTTTTGCCCAACGCTATTTATAACAGTACAATTTTGTGTCCGATTGACCGTTATGCCGCTAGAAGCAAAAATTAGTCCAAAAATTTCGAAGTTTTTGGGGCCTCTTGAAGTTGGCACGAAATTTTGTTGGCGTAGGGTTATGAAACAACATACCGGTACTACCCGATTTTAACTATGCCGACTGGACTACTAGGTAAATATACCTAATTGTGTAAGTGTAACTGTATACTAAATAAAGCATATGAAATAAAAGAACACACATTTTTACATTGGTATTTATTTTATATTATTCCTCATCTTCATATTGGTGATTTTATCATATAGTCACTATCAGAACTCATTTTCTTCACAGCGGTAACTTTGTTAGGCACCTAATCACTAATTTCCGGTTATAGTTACAGGTATTTAAGTTTTATATTATGACTAGACCTTTTATAACTCAATTACAGCACGCGGTAACTTAATTACTTTGCATGGTAGCATAAGTTTTTTACAGTAGATAATAGTTTACATATGGTTCATTGACAAAAGTAAAAAGTTGTTGTCGAGATATTTTGGGTAACTTAAATGACTACTCTGTCACAATATTATTACAAATTATTTTAAGTGATAAAAATATAAACGCGCATTTACTATACACCTATTTTTGGTAACTTAGTTATCTTGGCAGTTATTTTAAACAAAGCACCACAATGCATAGGGGCAATCCGACAGGGAAAAAATTTCGTGAGATTTAACACTAGATGGCGCTACCATTTATACAGTTTAACACAAGTTGTCACTATACATTAAATGATATTGTTAAGTTCGTTGTGTCTAACAATGAAAAAAAAGAGGTAGAACCTAGTGTCGGGGCCTGTGGATCGCCATCAAGTTACTTAACTCTTGAGCTGATTTTCGCTTGTCACAAAAACAGTTCTGTGAGATCAGATTTTTGCAACAACAATTTGTACCTACTTCTCGGTAGAGATTTGCAAGTCAGTAATTGTATTAACCTTTTAAACCATATTTGCTCTGCAATACACGTCTGAAAACAACAATTAGAGACACAAAGATAACTTACAGGGTCTTACCTCAATAAATATAGATACGATAAGTTGAACTAACGGGAACAGCATTAAACTTATTCTAAAATACGCTTGTCTATGTCCATAATGCGCAGGATAGACTAATTCCATAAACTTGTCCAACAGTTTAAATGGATAAACGGTGATAAGTGTAAGGAAGCATGTGAGAATAAGGGCGATGGTTAGTAACCATTCATTGGATATCAAGGGTTCACGATAAGGGTGCCCCTTGGAGTAGACTAGAGCTAATATTAAATACTGAAAACCGGAAATGCAAAATATCACAGTGTTATCCCAGCTCGTTACAATTTCTGCTTTGCCAAGTGGAGGAGGCTCGTACCATACTTGTTGATGAAGATACCATAGTGCTCCAACTTGCATTAATAAGCTCAGTAGAATTTGAAGTGCTAGTGGAAGCAAGTTCTTTAATGATAATAATGAACACATTGGCCTTCGAGAGCTCAACACAGTGGATGGACCTGAAATTTTGCATCATTATACTAATGGTTAGATTGCACAACAAGAGAAACAATTGAAGGCATTTTCTAAAACATAAAACTTGCCTTGTTTTCCAATTGTCAATGCCAGGCTAGTAATGATTATCAAGTCAATAAATAAAAATTCGACATCCCCAATAACCGAATGATGCTAGAAACAATTGAATTTCAATCGGTATAAATAAGCTAGAGGGGCGCACTTACTGCATATAAGAGCACAACTGAAAAAAATTGAATAAGACTGTACATGGCCATGTATTTGATCATAGCCAAACTTGTAACCAAAGCGCAACGCCCTTCCAACATGAGATGCAAAATACACGAAATATTTTCAATGGACGAAGTGAACGGTGCTGCTACACTTGCTTCGGCTCGCGAAAGGGAGACGCCCACATGTGCCGCTTTTAAGGCCTACAACGCTTTCTGTAATTACACGCGATGGCGAGTTACCTTACCCCACAATCGTTGGTGCCGTCGCCCACCATGGACACTATATAATCTAACTTCTGAAACTGAACAACAAGTTGCGTTTTTTGATCCGGTTGAAATCGAGCAAATACGGTAGTGTGCACCAATAATTTCGGAATTAAGTGAGAGTAATATGTGCGTAGATTCGTCCAAGTCTTACCATCTAACGCAAAAGTGATATGCTGAAAACAAAAAGTCGAAATTAAATTAGTCCCAAAACAGACAGACAGACAGTACAGTAGATTTCTTCATCACAATGAAAAACAACCATAAATATTGAACTTACATTTCATCACAAAGCAAGACCTGCAGATTAATAAAAGATGTTACACATAAATCAAAATTAGTAACTAAGAGATAAATAAAAAATAAAATGACTCAGATAACAAACCACATACCAATTTTTTTAAGTCAGCCAGACTCTCAATGGTTTCCATTTCAGGGGCGATTCTTTCCATTTTTATTGACGGTATTTGACCATTTTCATTATCAACAATTTTTATTAAAATTACATCCTCATGTACAGCCACCATGCCGCATTCTCTTGCAACGGAAATTGCTGTTCTAATGTTGTCTCCTAAAATATTATTAATTAATTTTAAGCAATTTAGTACAGAAGTGTACCTGTTATCATTACAGTTCTAATTTTTGCATCATTTAGGGCTGATATAATTGGCTGTGTTTCAGGTTTGACAGTATTTTGCATAATTAAGAACCCTAAAAATTCTAATTCGCATTCGATCTAAAAAAAGGGTATCTACATAGATAAAAATTAAGATTTTTCGACTTACAGCAGTACGCTCTATTTGTTGGGCATGCTTCCACTTAAACTTGCTCGGCAGCGACTTATAAGCTAGGGCTATAACTCGAAAACCTTGGGCGGTTATTTCACTAAGACGTGTACTAAAATTTAATGGGAGTGTGCTTTCTATGCACATGGCGGCGATTTTCTCAGGAGCCCCTTTCACAAACGCCAGCATAAGGGGATCTTCCAAAGAACGACATATCACAGACATCGATTGCAGAGTTGACGAAAAGGGAAATTGACGTACTATGCCAATTTCGTACGGTAACTGCAAGATTAAATCAATTTTTAATGATTGAGCCATAAATTTCAACCGGCGTTATTTTATCTTATCGAGTGGTGAGCCAGAGTAAAGGACCGTTCAGAGTGAGAGTGATTGTTTTACGACCGACGCGACGCCCGGCGCACCGCACCGCTCCCACTCTGAGCAGTCGTTAAGCGACAATCAAATAGAGCAGAATTTCAGTTTTTTTTAGCTAATTTAAGGCACCTATGGACTGAAATAAAATTCCGAAATGGAGTATGGAAAGTTGCCTAATTTAGATTGTGAACTCAAGCCTAGGGGGAAACAAGTATCATTTTTGGTGTACACCAAAAATGCAAATTCAAATTAATTCACGTTAATTCAAAATAATCCACGTAAATTCAAATTGAATCACGTTAATTGACATTAATTCTCGTTAATTCTAATTAATTCACTTTAATTCTAATTAATTCACGTTAGTTCAAATGAACACAAAGAGGTGTACACCAAACATTCAAAGTTGTTTGCATCTAGAATTTTTCCAAGGCAAATTTTACCAGGACTAGAGTTTGCGAGTAAAATATTTGAACGGTGGATTTTTTCTGGGGACAAATTTTTACACAATTATACCAGGGAAAAATTTTCCAAGCGCAATATTATCAATCTTAAATTTTCAAGACGAGAATTTCCCAGGGCGAATTTTTCGCAGACGAGATTTTAAGTGCCAAATATTCCAAGGTCTATTTTGTTGGAGGCTAAATTTTCCATATGCGAATTTTCTGGAAATGAATTTTTCCACGGCAAATATTCCCAAGACGAATTTTGAGGGGACAATTTTTGTGGGTCAAATATTTTAAAGGCGATTTTTTTACGTTGCTGGAGACAAGTTTTCCACGCAAGTTTCCGGGGCGAGTTTTTTAAGGGAGTATTCCAGAGCATAAACTTCCATTTTTCTTTGACAATTTTTTGGGGACCAAATATTCGAAAGATGATTTTTTCAACATTTTCTGTAGATGAGTTTCCTTTTCTGGACGAATGTTTCAAGGGCAATTGTGGGAGCCTACATTTTCCGCAGGTACATTTGTCGGAGCAGCATTTTTCAATAGCGAATTTTCCTAGAACAATTTTTGTTGTAGTTTTTGGGAGTCAAATATTCCAAGGACGACTTTATTCTGTAGGCGAATTTTTTAGGAAAGAAGTTTTCCAGGAAGAACCCTTCTGAGAATTGGGGGTGAATCTTGCACGGAACCATTTTAAAAAGGGTTCATAGCGAATTTGTCTCGTATATTTTTTTCGGAGGGCAAGTCTTTAGGGGTCGAATATTCCAGGGACGATTTTTAGAGCGCACCAAATTTTCTGGAAACGAATTATTCACGCAAGTACTCTAGCGAAGGTAGATTTTTATGAGCCTTTGTTTATGAGAGCAATTTTTCCTAGCGAATTTTCAGGAGATTTCTAAGGGCGATTTTTTACAGGAATCGGCGGATTTTCGAGAAATGAATTTTCCAGGGTAAATTTTATCAGGACGAGTGTTTGTGGGTCAAATATTCCAACGGATTAAATTTTCTGGGGGCAAATGTTTCACGCAAGTATTCCAGGGAAAAGTTTTTCAAGAACGATTTTTTCGTGTTTCAGGACAAGAATTTTTCCAGGGCGAAACGTGTTTTTAATGTCAAATATTCCAAGGGTGATTTTTTCGAGGCTAAATTTCCAGGGCAAAAAGTTTGTTATACAATTATTCCACGAAAGAATTTTCCGGTGCGCATATCCCCAAGGCGACTTTTTCAAGCCTACATTTTCCGGAAGCGAATTTTTCCATAGGGAATTTTCCCAGAAGAAATTTTCCAGGAACAAGTATTTGAAGATCAAACACAATAGTGATTTTTTCGAGGCTACACGTTCAGGATGAGAATTTTTCTATAGCGAATATCTCCAGTGAGAAACTTTTCCGAGAACAAGTCTTTAGGGATGAAACATTCCAAGGGCGATTTTTTAAGCGCAACCAAATTTTTTGAAGCGATTTTTCTGGGGATTTATGAGGGCAATTTTTTCAGGAATCGAATTTGTCTTAAGGGGAACAAGTACCATTTTTGGTGTACCACAAACATTCAAATTCAAATTAATTTACGTTAATTCATGTTTATTCACACTAATTCATATTAATTTACATTAATTCAAATGAATTAACGTTAATTCAAATTAATTCAAGCTAATTCTAATTAATTCAAGTTAATTCAAATTAATTCACGTTAATTCAAATTAATTCAGAGGGGTGTACACCAAAAATTCAAAGTTGTTTCCCCCTAGACTCAAGCAGATTTATTGAACAAAATCTCTTTATTTAGCCTTGCATGGAATCGAACGCAACACTTGTCTAGTTAGCACATACAAATTAAAATTTAAACTTAGAATTTTTATCAATTTCCCTCGTACACTTATGGCAATTGAATGAAATTAATAATGTGGCTTCAGAAATTCCAACACCTGAAATAAATCTTGGATGTGAAAAGAAAAATCTGGCATAAAGACTACATTCGAGTCGTACTATAAATTCAAATAAGAACCCAATTATAATTCACTGACAAAGACAATGAATTTTATTTCGAAACATATTAAATGAAAATAACAACAAAATTCCTGAAATAAAGAGAAACAGACAAAACTTGTTTTTACATGGTAGGTACCCCGTACGCATACGGTCGATAATAATATTATGTAAATGAAGAACTCTGTCTTCAATCAATCTAATCGAACAGACAACCCAAATAAATAACGTAAAGCGACATACTTTTTTCAACCGTCGCGAACCAGCAGCGTTTTTTCATTATCTGCCATATTTAACGAAACACCACCTCCACCACTCATCACATCACATTTACTAAAAAGTTTCCCCTTCCCCCAGTTAGAGCGTCACTAAATATAGAAAGTACCGCAATCCATTGGGCTCGTGTGTTAGAGAGAGAAAACATGATTTTTGCCCAAAAATGGCGGAAGTTACAAGATTATAGTAATTTTAATGTTAGGGATTGTTCCACCTGTTTGGAGATTTCTGTATATATTTTTATAAAACATGACAGTACTATGAAGTTAGGTTATAAAAAATTACAGCTATTCAGATTTTATTTGTAAATTTTTTTAAGTTGGCAGCAAATTTGCCCAAAAATGGCGGATGATTGCGGTACTTTCTATATCTAGTGACTTTAATACTATACCATGACTGTACGCCCTCTAGCGGCAAACCTATAAACTCGAAAATAATTTCCAACGATTTATTTTGTTAACAAAAACTTTTTCCCCCAAGCTGTGCAATTAACTGTTCCATGGATATGGCCTGTGATCTTTATTAACAGGACACCCTGTACACCCTTAACAATCACGCATTTAGTAAATACGTCAGCTAGATTACCACTCTCTTCTCAAAGTAACTTATCTGTGAAAGTTGGGTAGCAGTTTCTATTTCAGACAAGCGAAGCATACTGTTAACGTTCTTTTCGCTCATAATTCAAATTTAGTATTTTTTGCTCTTATTTATAGCCTTACGCCATCTTGGTATATTCTTTATAATGCACTAGTTTAGATGTAAATTATTCCTGTAGTAAGAACCTTTTTCGCACTGCATGTATTTATTTCGCACTGCATGAATTTATCTCGCACTGCATAAATTTATCTCGCACTGCGTGATTCAGTATTAGAAAACTTAAAAAAAAAGATGAATGAAATCGGTAAAGTCGTTTTAAAGTTATTGCGTGACCAGAAGAAACAGGGGTTAATTTTTATATATAGAGATTTTAGGAAAAAAATCATTTTTATACTTTTATACTATACCATGACCGTACGCCCTCTAGCGGCAAACCTATAAACTCGAAAATAATTTCCAACGATTTCTTTTGTTAACAAAATCTTTTTCGCCCAAGCTATGCAATTAACTGTTCCATGGATATGGCCTGTGATCTTTATTAACAGGACACCCTGTACACCCTTAGCAATCACGCATTTAGTAAATACGTCAGCTGGATTACCACTCTCTTCTCAAAGTAACTTATCTTTGAAAGTTGGATAGCAGTTTCTATTTCAGACAAGCGAAGCATACTGTTAACGTTGTTTTCGCTCATAATTTAAATTTAGTATTTTTGCTCTTATTTATATCTTTACGCCATCTTCGTTTATTCTTTATAATGCACTAGTTTAGATGTAAATTATTCCTGTAGTAAATTTGTTATTATCTTAGTATAGATTTCTTTCACCTAGTTCTTGATTTCGCCGGCGGAAGTCGTGCAGAGTTCTTTTAATTTCTTTTGGTGCACGCACTTCTTTTTTTGATCATTACTTGTAGAAGACGCCATTACAACGCAACAATTTTTGTCAGCCTTTTTAGGATTTTTATTGGTGCTGTAAAAGCTTTTCTCGTTATTTCGCTTTCGACACTTCGCTGACGCATTTGCGGATATTATTTTACAAGGCCGTTTTCGGTATGTTAACAAAAATTACGCATTTACCTTTTGACTTTGAATAATTATTTTTACGCTTTAGACATTTTGATTCTACTTTTGACCCCTTAACCGTCGTAACTCGGGGTGGTCACATGTTTTTTTGGCACTAGCAACCAAATTAAGTTAAACAATCATGATTCATGATTCAAATTAATCCAATAATCATCTATTAATAAAAAGATCGCATTACGTACATCACTGTCTAATTCGGGATGATTCCTTGGCCTCACTACAACTGGTCCCAATGTATCATATCTAGTGATTTCCGATTGACCAGGTTCCTCCAATTCCTGCAATTAAAATCCTTGCGATCTCTGTAAGGTACTGGCCGTTTCGCTTACCCATTTAATACTATTAAACATAATCATATCGAGAGGATCGCCGTTGATAGTACCGTCAATACGAGTCAGAGTATGACATGTGGCCATTGCCTGAATAAGACGCGATTTTGGATGCATCTCGTCCACGTTTATCACAGGTTCCATAAATTCGGAATGTCGGGAGGGAATAATTGAGTAGATTTCTAGTCCATCGTTTGTCAAAGTACCAGTCTAGAATTTAGTGTAAGTCTTATGTTTGACGGACCGTATTAACCAGGCGTGAATTTCGGAAGATGCTGATGTTGCACCATCGCTGCCTGGTAAATAAAGCCCATTGTGCCACAGATTTGTATTACCTTATCAAAGCAGGCCAATTTAATTTTTCCACAAATATTGATTCGTTGCGGACTAATGCAGAATATGCCCAATTTTTTTAAACGAGTTTGACTGTAAATGGTTCCGACAGTCATTGCTGCCGGAAGTGCAGGCGGAACAACGATTGTGAAAATGTCCAGCGCACGAATGATGCATTCTTTTACATCCACCTGCATAATAATTTATAATTAAAGAAACGGCTAATGCAACTTACTTGTTGGTGAATGTACGTGTAGAGTGTGTACAGCATACCGCACAGAGCAACTATAAACAAAATGAACACAAACTTAAAGGTATCTGCGTAAAATTTCAATCCGATTGGGGCCGGGTATAAAATAGACTTGACTAAAGAGCCTTTTGTCGTACTAAAACCTGTTTGCGTGACTCTAGCCAAGACTTGCTCACCACCGTAATAGCGTGTTTGCAGAATATGAGTACCAGAAAATAAAGTGTGACGTTTGTGGGTAACGGAATCATAAAGCTCATCTGATGAATGAGGAGGCGTTTTTGTTACAGGAATACTTTCCCCTGCAAGTATTTAAGTTTCTCAAAATTGATGACACATTTACCCTGAACCATACCTGTGAGGACACTTTCGTTGACAATGCAATTTCCTTTCAGCAACACCGCATCACAAGCCATAATACAACCTCTCGGAGGAATGATCAGCAAATCGCCAGGGACCAAATCTCGCGAGTCGATTGTTAACTCTGTATGTCCCCACAAAGGATTTGGTCTCAAAATTTCTACCTCATTGACATTAGACGACTCAACAAGATCATGCAGCGCCTCACTTTGCTGAAATCTTAGTGAAGGCATATAAAGCAAACACATCTTCACCCACCTTTCTGGTTTGGTACAAAGAAGTCATGATAGAAAATAGTATTAAAATTAAGACGCAACCTGCGTATATGACATAATCGTCGACAATCCACAAAGCCATCGAAAACAATTGGAAAATATAAAACGGATTACAAACTTCTTCAACGAATAACGTCCAATATGATTTCACCTCAACTTCGATCGTATTTGGACCATATAACTCTAATCTGGAGAACTACGTAATTAATGATCAAGCACATAAGTCAGTTTACTTACACGTTCTTATATTCGAGCCGACTTAATCCATTGGAATATTGTAACACGTCGGCTAGGCTAACTGAGGGCATGAAAATATCTAATGGCATGAAATTATATTCGTTATGATAAATATACTTGGTGTGTTGATAAACAAAGTATCGCAGATTGACTTTACCCGTACTTGCCAGTAGTACGTTTTGAATTTCAACTTTGATGATTTTGTAATGACCATGATTGTCCTTTACTGGAACAAAAAAAGAATTATTAGCGTATCAGTTGTCCACTGTTTGACAATTATTATTACAATTGTCCCAATACACCTTGCAATTTAGTTTCCACGTAATTTAATTTTTAGCGCGTTTTTTAAGATGTAAAAAAATGTGCCGTCTGTCTGTCAGTCCCCTAAAGTGATCATTATCACCCTCACTATTTCAAAAAATTATTTAACAAATTTTTAATTAACACCTGACATAATCCTGGGCACAAATAAAAAATGTACCATGAGAACTCTTATATCCTGGGTCGTAAATTGGGCTCGATTAAACACCACATACAACATTTACAGATAAAACAAATTTATTCGACATAAACAATCAATAAAGCTGAAATAAAAATACGCACTAAGGGCCAGGTCACAAATACCACGCACGTGCGCTCGATTGAAACAAGTGAAATATAAAAGAAAATTCTAATTACCTTAAATTTAATAAACTTAAAAACTGCGAGTCGAATTTTTAGTCTAATTAAGAATTCTTGTAAGTCTAATGTAGTCTATTACAACAGAGTTTTTTCTAATGCATAATAAGCAATTTGAGTGATTCAATACTCACCATCATTTTATTTATTATACAAAAATAAAAGTATAAAAAATAACCATAAACATTAGTTTCAAAATTGTGGCCACTTTAATATTGCAATAAAACATTCAAATGGCCGCCATTTTGAAAAAATGAAGTGGTTATTTTTATTAACCTTTGTGTTTTAAACATTTTTGCCAAATTTAATTGAATACCAAAGTACGAAATTCAGCAGCCATCTTGGATTTTGACTGATTTCCTGGGCCGGAATTAATGCCGTTTTTGAATATGAATAAAATGCAAAAAAATGTCATGTGTGTTGCAATTTTACCCAGATCAAGGGAATTTTTCACCATTTTGACTGTACTACTGCTTAACTTGAAACTAATAAGCTTTTACGCAGCGATAATAAATCTCTTATCGCAATGACCGGCTATAAAAGACAAACTTTTACAAAAATACGCAATCAAGTTCAAACGAATAAAGCTAATGTTTTAACACGTAATTTAACCTTACAATTACAGATCAAAATAAACAAAGGAATTAATTTATTAAACAAAATCAACATCTAATAACAAATCTGAAACAAAAAGATTGACCTCGAATTCATATATGATCAAGTTTGTGTTCAATCTCAAATAACAACCACACTTTAACATTCACTAAAATTTCAATAGTATTCAGGTAGCATTATCCAAATCAAAAAAATGTTATAAAAATGGTTACAATTTACTAGCTTAACACTAAAACCGAAGCTGAATAAGTTGCGAGGAATTTTTACCAACCTATAAGTACCAAGAAATTTACTAAAAAAGGACTACAAAGAACTAAGCATCAATACTTAATGCTCGCCAGTCACAGTACACCTGATCCCAGTCTACAATCATAAGTTTTCATATTAAACCATACAATTGTAGTTCGCCATCGAGTGTTCTGTGACTGGCATACTATCCTGGCGAGCCTAATATAGAGAATGTGTTGTTCAAACTATCAATAAGAGAGAAATTTATTTCAATTAAAGAACAAAGCAGTTACAATCAATGAATGCTTTCAGAACAAGTGAGTAACACACACTCCAGGAAAAATTATACATGCGTCACTAAAGTTATTATTAACATAGCCTTGAAATTTATCAATTGTTTTAACGTGAAAAAACGAGAAATAAATACTTACACAATACCAGTTCTGCATTCAGCAAAGGGCACTTTTGGTATTTAAAGGATTGTAAGTAAGGATACCAATGCAAAATTAAGTATGGTATCCCCAAAAGCAAAAAAGAAATAATATTAGAGATAATCGTATATCCATTGTTACGTCGATATCCATATATGGTGTAGTGAGAGTCGTTCTCGTCTGCACTGCTTATAGTTTGGGAGTATTCATCCGGAATCGGTTCATAATCTGTAAATAACAATTTTAAGCACGAATCAAGGAATAGTAACAATGTTACCTAAATTTCTTTTAAACGGAGCCATTTCAAAATCCTTTGTATTATTGTTTTGTATAAAAAGAGCACTACTACTATTACAATCTACTTATTTCCTCATTTCGATTGCTCAACCTACACCAAACACGTAATGTTTTGATTTCGTAATCATTGGCTTATGTCACTTTTTACTACGCTAAAAATCTACTCACATTCTTTTACTGATAAAAATGTGATAATTTATAAAGTATAAGTATCACAGATGACACAATTTTCAAAAATCTCATTAAAATTTTTTAGGTTATTGTTTTTACAAACGTCACTTTTCACCACAGAATACCTACACCTTCGGATGAACAACCAGTGGTTTTTTGCACACAATAAACATATAGGTTGACTATCCAATTGTGGCCGCTCTGGTGACTGGTGAGCAATAAGTAAATTTTTGTAGTTTTTCGCTTATTCAAAATTTCTTGAGCCCATTTCCTCCTGGGTTAACTGATTTTCTTTCGCTTCATCATCCCTGACAATTGCAACTAAATCAGTTATTGAAACTGTGTCCGTAGTGAAGTCATTTTGGATCACCCGGTATAGCAGCCGTGGGTTTGTCCTCAAAGATTTGATCGTACTCTATGGTTTCTGGTGTTTGCTGCACCGCTCACCGAATTTCAGTAGTTGGAAAAGGCAAGTCACACTTTTGATTACTTGGAAAATGGGTTTCATCTTTCTATTATAAAGTGTTTGAAAATTGTATTGAAAATGAGCGCTTTTGAACCGCTAGAGCCCTCACTTCAAAATGTTATCGACCAGACTTCCTTGAAATGGATTTTCGTCGGTGGTAAAGGCGGTGTCGGAAAAACAACTTGCAGGTAATGGTACACCTGGCGATCAGTTCTGTTTTAATAACTGATTTGCAGTTGCAGTTTGGCGGTACAACTGGCGAAAGTCCGTGACAGCGTCTTAATCATCTCGACAGATCCGGCTCACAACATTTCCGATGCCTTTGATCAAAAGTTTTCCAAAGTACCCACGAAAGTGAAGGGTTTTGACAATTTGTTTGCGATGGAAATTGATCCCAACGTGGGCTTTAACGAGCTACCTGAGGAATATTTCGAGGGTGATGCGGACGCAATGAAAATGAGCAAAGGTGTAATTCAAGAGATTATCGGATCATTCCCCGGTATAGATGAGGCGATGAGCTATACTGAAGTCATGAAGCTGGTGAAGAGTATGAATTTTTCGGCCGTAGTCTTTGATACCGCACCCACCGGTCACACTTTACGCCTACTATCGTTTCCGCAAGTCGTGGAGAAGGGCCTTGGAAATCTTTTACGTCTAAAACTAAAAGTCTCACCTTTAATTACACAACTAAGCGGACTTTTGAGCATGAACGACTTTAATGCTGATACATTTACGTCCAAAATGGAAGAGATGTTGAGTATAATACGTCAGGTGAACGAACAATTTAAGGATCCAGAGCAAACTACGTTCGTCTGTGTTTGTATTGCGGAATTTCTTTCTCTGTACGAGACCGAACGATTAGTACAAGAACTGACCAAATACAAAATAGATACCCATAATGTTGTTGTGAATCAGCTGTTGTTTAAGAGCCCCACTGAAACACCGTGCAGAATGTGTTTGGCACGGTACAGAATTCAAGAGAAATATTTGGATCAGATTAATGATTTGTATGAAGATTTTCACGTGACAAAGTTGCCTTTACTTGAACGAGAAGTTCGAGGTACCGAGCAAGTGTGCGCATTCTCTGAAAATTTAGTGAGACCATATAAACCGTGCTAATTACTTATGTATTTTGTTTTATTAATATAAAGGGTACAATTATTAAATCTTTAGAACAACTTTATAAAGTTCTTAAATTATCGCGCATGTTTGCCCAATCGGGAAGTCGATTTTCTTTTAGATAGTTTTCACGAGTCAGCCCTTTCATACCCAACAGTTCTGTACAGCCATAAATCGCACCTAAAATTAATTAGTCAGCTTTAATCTTCTAGTTGCCAACCTACCTCCCAGCCATGATGTGTAATTATCCTTGCAAGGGGGCGAGTGGAACTTGAAAACTTTAATTTTCAATTTACTGTATCTGTCTTTTTTCAACTGTTCATATAATTCTTCCTTTAGCCGTGATTTTAATCCGGGAGCCATAGCAGTCCCTCCCATTATCACTATATTCTCGGCTAATTGCAGACGCAAATCTAAATTTACTTTGAGGATAGCATCTAAAAGCATGGTGGATACGCATTGATGATCATTGTCTTCTTGAAAAAATGTTTCATAAACTGTCTCCCGTACTTTTCCCAGAACCGTAATTGATTTTGAGCCTTGTAGAGGATAGGTTACATCGGGACATGCAGTTAGAGATGGCGTTGTTTTCGAAAGTTCCATTGCACGGTCCTTTGGAGTTACAAAACAGCACCGGACTAAATAAAAAGCTTCTACATTAGCACAAGTAAAAACAGAGAAAGATCAGATTCTTATACCTTTTATATCCTCCAATTCCCATTCTGACAAGCTGCTAATACCGGTATTATTGGCAGTTAGCATGGATTTTAGGTTTCTAAAAAGAAATACTTGTAATATACCAAATGGGGTACATTAATTTTACATATGAACTGCCTGAGACGCCAAAGGCAAGGCTTGCCAAGCGTGGATCACCGGCAAACCGTGACAAACGGGTATTGCTACAGCTTCCGAAAATCCCACATCCAAAACTAGCGCAGTATCTATACCCAAACTCGCCAAACAAACCAAATGAGACGGAACAACAAGTATCATCGAGACCTCGTAGTGGCAAAATAAAACCTTTGCCAAGGTCTCGCGGAATATTGTAGGACATAACAACGATTCCACCACAACTACAGGCCGATCTTTCGGACTTATCAACACATACCTGCAGAAAAACGTGTAAAATATTTACAATAGCTTCATAAAATCTTACTTAAAGTACAAACTATGTAAGAAATCCACTAATAAATCGTAAAGGTCTTGATCATCTTTATAATCACGAATGTTACGCATCAAACCAGTTTCTTTGCATCGAACCTCGGAGCGAATTATATACCGTGGGGAAAACTCTCCACTGAATCCCAACCTAAAGTGAAAATATTAGCACATTCAGTGGGTTTCTTTGAAGTTGCTCAAACTGAACAGCCCACATACTTAAAGCAACTTCAAAGAGACCAGTGAACAAATCAAATATTTACTTTGTGTAAGCTGCCCCAATGTCCATTACGACAACTAATTTGTCTGTGATTGCTCCAATTCCTTCGTAGATAGGCATTTTTAAAGTGTATAATAATTGTTCGGGAATTATCAATTATCCGTTTAAACACTTTTAACAACTAACATCAAAATAATCATCATTTAGTACATTTTTATGATAATAATACAATTTTAGGTTATGTAGAAGTAGAAAACATTGAGAAAACACCTGGGATATTTGTCATTTACCATACATATACAGGGTGCATTATATTTAATTTACAAATGATTCTTGATATTTCTTAAATGCTTTGTATTAATGAGTTTTATTGAAGAATCATCATGCGAATTCTCGAAGTGTCTTTTTTGATAAATAACTGCAACTGAAAAATGAAAATAGGAAGGAAGTGCCCTGTTTGCTGTGACTACAAAAAGTTGGCACATTTATTTCGGCTGATACTGTAGTTACTAGCGTCACTAATGGCTATAGTAATCACTGCCACGGAGCTACCCATAAATCCCCTCTGACAACTTACCACTACTTTTCGCCAAACGTAACCCCTAAATGATATAAAATACGACAGCAACTTTTGTGAATAATTCTACAGTTTTAGAATTAACTAAAATGCTTTGTCGTTTAGTAACTTAAGCGTAACCGATTTAAATTATTTTTATTGTACATAAACAGTTTCTCGGTTGTGATTGAAATGGGTTCCCTGCCAACACTTAACTTTATTCTTATCCACTTAGCTGTACTGTGGTCTTTGTCCATATTTTGCACAAATGCCGAAAAGGAACCTCTAGAAGAACTAGCCATTCCCTCTGCTGTAAGTATAAAAGTATTAAGCAGCTAAGTATACATCGCTAACTTAACAGAAGGGGGAAGTGGTACTGTCCACCGAAAATGCTTCATCATCGGAGGGCCTTGGTTTTATTCACGCATTTGCGGCCGCAATTTCTGTAATAATCGTGTCGGAAATAGGCGACAAGACCTTTTTTATTGCGGCGATCATGGCGATGCGACATCCACGGCTGACAGTATTTACAGGTGCCATATCAGCTCTAATTCTCATGACGATTTTATCAGGTATTTTTATGAAAGCCACTCAATGAATTTCATTCGGTTTCTGTAGCGCTATTTGGATGGCTCGCGAACATTATTCCTAGGTCGTATACATTTTATGTAAGCACAGCATTATTTGCAATTTTCGGCTTGAAGATGCTTAAAGAGGGGTACCACATGTCCGAAAGTGAGGCTCAGGAAGAACTGGAAGAAGTTCAATCGAATTTACGTAAAAAAGACGAAGAGGTGCACATGGTTATTTACCTTTGTTTATCTTTACACTGTTTGCTACTTTTAGTATGAAAAAGAGACTATGCTACCGGATCCAGAAGCAGGAGGTAGTACTAAAAGAAAAATGGGGGCATTATCGACAGTGTCTAGGATTTTATTACAGTCATTTACATTGACTTTTTTAGCGGAATGGGGCGACCGATCTCAACTTACTACCATCATTTTGGGGGCTAGAGAGGTACACTTTTAAAAAATGTTTATTACATTATTTACTTTCGTTTCTAGGATGTGACTGGGGTTATAATGGGTGGCATATTGGGGCACAGCATCTGTACAGGTTTAGCAGTATTAGGCGGTAGAATGATTGCTCAGCGAATTTCAGTTCGAACAGGTAAAAGTTATTAATGCGAGGAGTTGCATTCATCTGTTTTGTTACAGTTACACTTATTGGTGGAGTTGTCTTTTTATTGTTTGCATTCTCGGCACTATTTTTTGATCCAAATGAAGCGTAGTGAACAACAATTGATATAGAATTTTAAGTTTTAAGGGTGTTGCGCGATTATTTATTGTATTCATGTGTAGCAGAACATTCAACTGAAGGTCTTTATGATTTGTACAATTTTTTTAAATATTGCTGTGTACATAACTATTTTATTGATGGCAAAATAGTAGTATATTACTGTATATGCCCTGTGATAAATTTATGTATATTGGATGTATTTTATTTATAAAATTGTCTTTTATTTTCCCTACCATTCCTATATTCACATAAATGGGCTGCAAGATTTTATGTTTCGTTTCAAAATGGGAGGTTTAAGGAATTTCAAATGACCTTAATTAAGGTGAAATTAATACCGTTTAATTAAGCACAATTAAAATAATGACTTATTTGCGAATGTATTATATTTTTAAAAATGTAGTTAATTGGGTGGGTAAATACCCACTCAAGCGGTTTAAGATAAGCGCTGAAGTATTAAAGGTTTTAATTTTCACGGTCTTTGAACAAATCTATTATTCGTACAAAACTAAAGGTGACTGTAATTAGTAGACGCGACAATTCCCAATAGCAAAATGATGTCAAAAAAGGGAAATGAATAAGCGTCTACCTATCTAAAATAGTAGCTGAAATTGGGAGACTTCTCTACCACAAACAGTTATTGCAGTTTCTGGCCCCAGGTTTGAGAGGATATTCTTGCCTTTTTATGGTCAATATAAAAAATGCATCGGAATTAAAGCCCAATCCCCCGGGCATCATGCTGAAGTAGTAGAAGCCAAATGAAATCTTCATTATGTGGATGATTATTTAGATCAGGGCTGTTCAGTTTTTTGCGGCCCGTTAGGCGGGGCGCTCAAATTATAAGTACCTCTATCCCTCAAATACGAAATATCACTGATAAAGTTTCATATAAAGATGTTTGTACCTAATGCGGGCTTCCAAGTTGGATTTTTTTTTGATAACCCTGACTTAGATAGAAGAATACGCCAGGTGCGTGTTTGAGGCATTTTATTTATTTTTTGTTTGTATGGCCTAAAGTCTATTCCAACCCCCGTGTGGAAACGGGGAAAGAATATTTCCACTGCAGATGGGTTCTGCATGCGGTAAGAGTCCGCTAATCAAAGCCAACCCTCCGTTCGAGTGTGAAGACTCTCAATATCTGATAGAGAAATTAAAATGCCTTTTAGGTATTTTTTGTCACAGAATTTCAAGTTTAAGTAGGTAGTTGTAAAACTGACCGCTATAGAAGGCTATAATTGGTTAATACAACCTGTTAGACTCGGTACATGAGTTTGGCCTTTAAAATTGACATTTTTTTAATGTTGCAATAAAAAGGTGGTCTGTATATGAACTGATCTTTATATAATATCTAGGTAGGTATAAGGTATGTGGAAACTTTTATTTGAGATCATGTTTCTTTTATTTGCGACCGGTTCAGTAGAATTACAGGTGCGAAGACAAAAAAAGTATGTTCTGCTAAATAATAAAGTCCATTCCTCGGGAGCCCATTAACAAAATTTTAATAATAGGTACCTATAATTAAGTCGTTTGTGGCGACGCGCCGCTTGAACATCCGGCAGCACTTTCATTGGTCAAAGCGGCCAACCGAAGAGAGTGTGCGTCCACTCTTCGGGTACCATTTTTGTATATATTATAAATATATTCCAAAAACGCAGCAGCATTCTTATTTAGAGTCTCTCGCTAAATAAGAATAACTGATATCCCGACCTAAGACTAACGTACAACGTAAAATGGTACTTTACAGGTACGACCATAGTCAAGCATACGCTTGTATTTGTATAATAAGAAAATAATAAAGAGAACAACGTTCCTGGTTTTAGCCGGCAAACCGACGATCGACACGGAAGCCGTTTCCAAGATGCCGAATTGTTTCCTAGGATCCCTCTCCAACGAGCACCTATAGGTAGGGTTTAATCAGGGGTTTAATAAATGACAAAATTTCTCGGAAAAACACTTTTTCTTATTAATTTTGGGGAGTAGAATCCAAAACAATTCCTACTTTTTCGATTAGACTTCTCAATCAAAAGTTATAGACTAGAAACCAATTTCGAAAGAAAATTCAAAGGGCTGTACCTTTTGAACTATAGTAGCCCAATCTTAGAACTGTTTCAAATTATGGATTCTACAGGCCCCATTCTATAAGACAATTTTTCTTATTAATTTTGGGGCGTAGAATCCAAAACAATTCGTACTTTTTCGATTATACTTCTCAATCAAAAGTTAAATAGACTAGAAACCAATTTCGAAAGAAAATTCAAAGGGCTGTAACTTCTGAACTAGTAGCTCAATCTTGGAACTGTTTGAAATTATGGATTCTACAGGCCCCATTCTATAAGAAAAATTTTTTTTCCGGTCGATCTGAGACATTTTTTTCTTCGGACCTCAAAAAAAGGCAGTGTACCTATAACCTTCCTTTTTTTTTTAACAAAAATCAACTACACCAAAATTTTTCGGGAAAACACTTTTTCTTATTAATTTTGGGGCGTAGTATCCAAAACAATTCGTACTTTTTGGATTAGACTTCTCAATAAAAAATTATAGACTAGAAACCAATTGCGAAAGAAAATTCAAAGGGCTGTAACTTTTGAACTAGTAGCCCAATCTTGGAACTGTTTGAAATTATGGATTCTACAGGTCCCCATCCTATGAGAAAATTTTCCGGGTCGATCTGAGACAATTTTTTTTTCGGGCCTCAAAAAAAGGCAGTGTACAACCTTCCTTTTTTACCAAAAATCGACTACATCAAAATTTCTCAGGAAAACACTTTTTCTTATTAATTTTGGGGCGTAGAATCCAAAACAATTCGTACTTTTTCGATTAGACTTGACAATCAAATGTTATAGACTAGAAACCAATTCCGAACTAAAATTCAAAGGGCTGTAACTTTTGAACAAGTAGCCCAATCTTGGAACTGTTTGAAATTATGGATCCTACAGAATTCTATAAAATTTTTTTCCGGTCGATCTGAGACAATTTTTTCTTCGGGCCTCAAAAAAAGGCAGTGTACAACCTTCCTTTTTTTACCAAAAATCGACTACACCAAAATTTATTCAAATATTTGAGAACAATTTAGAAATGTTTAGGGAAAGTTTCCATTGTCACAAAATCAAATATAAAAATCCGATACATCTGAATACCGAACTCGATAGCCTACGTAACTTAAAAACAATAGGGACCTTTTTTATATCCTTAAGACCATGTGTTCCAATTTTCAAAGCGATCGCACGTTTCTAAACAAGTTATCATGCACACGGACAAACGGATAGTCAAAAATGGATCTGTTCCAAAATCGCTAGGATTAATTTCAGAAAGGCGTACGTATCATGTGCACGACGTATGTACGATCGCTTTGAAAACTGGTACACGTATTCTTAAGGATATAACTGGTATTAGAAAGGTCCTGGTAGGTACCTCCTATATAATAATATAATAATATTAATAATACGCTTCTACTCCCCTTAAATTTGTATATAACAATAGAAATATAAAAAAAGCTAACACCATACAAAGTATAACTTGATTTTTTAAGTAGTATTAAGACTTTTATCTAGTATACTATTTTAAATTTTTAATGTATTTGAGTGACAAGTATTTGAATCCTTTTTACTGTATTCGAATCAGTGGCGGATTTAAATTTTTTACTCCCCTAGGCACACCGAAAGATATGCGCCACAAAATAATCTTTAAATAACTATCTACCATTCCAATAATTTCAATTAAACATTTTTGTCATTTGTAATTTGTTAGAGCTTATTTTAAAACTTAAAATGTTACCTAAAATAAATATAGTGCAAAAAATGCCGCCCCCTAAAGCTGCCGCCCCTAGGCACGTGCCTAGTGTGCCTATATGTAAAACCGCCACTGATTCGAATACCTTTCATAGTACTTATATTAGAATACTTTTGAAATTGAAAGTATTCGAGTACATTCTAAAGTATTTGAATACTATTCAATGTATCTGTATCTAGTATTCGCTTGTGCTGGACGTAAAAGTATTTAGTATTCAAATACCTTTGATTTGTGTAAAGTATTTACTATTTAGTATTCAAATACTTTTTGAAAGTATTCTGCCCAGCTCTGGTTGCAGTCAAGTTTTTAAATCTTCTATGGAAGCTGGACTTACAGTTGGTCGTTTTCTCTTTGAAGTTCTGTTTTTATTAGCTTCGCCAGTATAGGTTCACTTTCACTTTATTCAGTAATTTAGTACCTACCTACCAGTTTTTTACTTGTATTTTACAATCAAAGGTAAGAGGGCAACCATTGAATAAGTAATCATCATTATAGGTAATTACTTATTCAATGGGGCAACTCAGCTTAACGTTGAACATATAGGGAATGCAATACCGGGATCCCGCGGGATTACTATCTAATGATCCCACAAATACCGGGATCCAAATTTTGCTGCGGGATTGCATTCCCTTGGACATATGTAATTATAAGAGCAATCAAATTTTTTTATATACAGAAAGTTTTGTTGTGTATCCTTCATTATCAGCGCGGGGTAAATAAACGAGTTGGTCCTCAACAATTCACCAGAGCACAAGTCCACGCTTTCAAAAGTTGATTGTGGCTTCGAAGAAATTGAAGATGCGCCTTATGGCCCAGATCTAGTACCCAGTTACTATTTTTTGTTCTCGAATCCCAAAAAATCACTAAGGGGGACAACATTTAGAGACAATGACGAAGCAGCTGTTGAGGGCCATTTTACGGGAAAACTAAAGGAATATTTTTATACTAGATTAATGATGTATACCTGTATTCAAAAGCAGGGAACTATATTGAAAAATAAAATTTTGGATGGGCATCATGTGGACGTTTATGTAGCATACCTATTAATAATATCAATGGAGGGGTTACAGAAAAATGTTGACCTACCTATCACCCATTTGCCATTTAGAAATGTTTGTCGTTATTACTTAATCCATTACATCGGTTTTAGACGTGTAATCAATTTAGTTAATTCACCCCAGTTTCGTTAATTGAACATTAAATCTTATTTATACCTTCAATAAAGAAAATGTCACAAACACGCAAATATGATTGAGAAACCCTTTTATATGGCCCGAGTCCATTACCTTATTGCAATAGGTAGCTAATTACCTATTCTTAGCACAATACCATCATCCATTCGTGCGTTAATTGTACATCACTTATACCTGCCTTAGACTTAGATCACGCAATTATAACATTTCTTTCATTTACCCTCAATTTTAATT